TCTAACTTCGGCTCAGGTCATGATCTCGTGGTTCGTGAGTTCAAGCCCCATGTCGGGGTCTCTGCTGTCAGCATGGAGCCCACCTCGGATCCTCTGTCTCCCTCTCCCTCTCTCCTTCTCTCCCTCTCTCTCTCTCAAAATAAACTTAAAAAAAAGGGGGGGGGAGGGCCCAATATAGTAATTGAATCAGGCAAGAATCATCAGTGGACACTAAAACAATTAGGTCAAAGTTGTTGGGGAACAGGTATTTGCTTGATGCCAAAATATCAAGCCTCAAGGGAGAAACCTACCTGCTCCAAGGCAGTAACCACCTCACCTTAAGGGACCAAGCACAGCAGCATTCCCAGCAGGACAACTGTTACGTGCCTTCTGATGCAATGCAATAGGAATTAGCACCATCTGTGAAATATGCTTGCCAAAATATAGGACTTGAATCTAATCAAGCCTCTAGACCAAACTTCTAGGATACAGAAAATATAAGGAATAGAAGAACAGTTACATGATGCCCTGAAGAAACAATCAGACAAATGCAGAAAAAGGTAAGTGGCTTAGATTCAAAGTCAGTATCACTGGAGGTGGGGGGGGGGGGTATTCTAGATTAAAATAAACTAAGCACACATAAAAACCAAATGCAGGAGGCACCTGGGTGGCTCAATCAGTTAAGCATCCCAGATTCTTGAATTTGCCTCAGGTCATGATCTCAGGGATCAAGTCCTGGTATCAGGCTGTGCGCTGAGGATGGAGCCTGCTTCAGATTCTCTCTCTCCCTCTCTCTGTGCCCTGCTTCCCCCTCCCCACCCCCCACAGCTCATGTAGTCTCTCTCAAAAATAAAAACTAAAATAAAATAAAAACGAAATGCGGCACCTAGATGGGTCAGTCGATAAAGCAGGAGACTCTTGGAATCATGAGTTCAAGCCCCACATTGGGCATAAAGCTTGCTTAATTTTTAAAAAGGCGGAGAGAGGGGTGCCTGGGTGGCTCAGTCATTTAGGTGTCTGACTTCAGCTCAGGTCATGATCTCACAGTTTGGGAGTTCAAGCCCTGCATCAGGCTCTCTGTCAGTGTGGAGCCTGCTTTGGATCCTCTGTCCCCCTTTCTCTCTGACCCGCCCCACTTGCGCTCTCTCTCTCTCTCTCAAAAAGTAAACTTCAAAAAAATAAATAAATAAAATTGGGGGCAGATTATTTAAAAAAATGCAACATACAAACCAATTAAATCCTGGCTTTTAAAAAAGGCCACGAAAGGGGTGCCTGGCTGGCTCAGTCAATGGAGTGTACAACTCTTAATCTCAGGGTTATAGGTTTCAGCCCCACATTGGGTAAAATAAAATCTTAAAAAAAAAAAAAAGTCATAAAAGCTTCTGGGGGACAAATGAGAAAATTCAAATCAGGAAACCAGATATTAGATATTATAGAATTATTAATTTTTAAGGTGTGAAACTTTATCATAATTATATAGGAGAACATTCCCAGTTTTAGAGATGTATGCTACAGGCTTAAGTATTTAAAGGTAGGGTGTCATGAACTCTGCAACTTACTTTCATGGTTGAGAAAAAAAATTTATTTACACAGACATATGCACAACTTAAGAAATGGCAGAATGTTAACAATTCTTGATACAGAGTATATGGGTGTTCATTGTACTCGTCATTCAAATTTTCTATACATTTAAATGTTTCATAAAAAAAAAACTGGAACATAATAAAGTTAAAGGAGTATAAATGCAATGTGGTACCCAAAATAGTTCCTGAAACAGAAAAATGACATTAGCTGAAAAGCTGCTAAAACAAAAGTCTATAATACAGTTAACATTATTGTACTAATGCAAATTTCCCAGTAAAGGTACCATGGTTATATAAGATGCTAACATTAGGGGAAACTGGATAAAGGGAACTCACTGTACTGTCTTCGGGAATTTTCTGTAAATCTAAAATTATTCCAAAATAACAAGTCCTTAAAAAGTGGCAACCAGTATGTAAAAGCTAGAATTTTTTATTATATTTTAATATGTATATAATCAAACAACTTTGAGATCCAGTATCTGTAACAATGATCTTCCACAAACCTCCAGTTTGGAACAAAGAACCTCCAAACATGAAACACGTTGCCAGGGACCGTGTACTAGACAGAAGGGAAACACGTTCGCACCCACTGCCTGGACACCAGGATCAGACAGGGACCCGGTCCTCCAAGGAGGGCGAAGCTGCCATCTGGGCCGCAGCCACCTTGTTTTCCTAGCCCCAGGGAGCTTTCCTTAGTTCAGCAAAGACGTGGATTGAGCTGCCTGCCTGAGCAGCACTGACTGGAGATCTATAAAGAGGAGGGACATGACAGCATCAGTATGTGTCCCTCTTCCTGGTCTGCAGAGCCCCCAGGTGACTGACGCCTTCCAGCCACACCCACCTCTGCAAGAAGAGTCTGACCTAGCTGCAGCCCCAGCAGACAGACATATGTGTAATTCTTGGGGCGTCTTAAAAGCTGTTCATTAGGGGCGCCTGGGTGGCTCAGTCAGTTAAGCATCCAACTTCTGCTCAGGTTATGACCTCCCAATTCGTGAGTTTAAGCCCCGTGTCAGGCTCTGTGCTGACAGCTCAGAGCCTGCAGCCTACTTCCTATTCTGTCTCCCTCTCTCTGCCCTTCCCCCACCTTAAAAAATAAATAAACATTAAAAAAAAAAAAAGCTGTTCATTCATATTATCTCATTTAATCCTGGCACCTGGTGCTAGCCCTCATCTTACAAAGGGCTAGAAGACACCTAGTCCCATCCCCACCTGTGCTGTTATAAACACTTCACCCAAAGGTCCCTCTCGATCAGCAGGAGACCTGGGTGCTTCTCCCTTTCAGGTACCCTAATACCTGACTTCCGCCAAGGCTGCCCCGCATTGACCACAGCCACTCTTTCCTCAAAATCTCTGCAGCCCTTACACTGTGACTAGAAGGATGTGGTTGAAATCCAAGCAAAAGTCTACAACCTTTTGGATCGTGTGGTGAGTGAGAACACAGAGCGTGGAGCTTCACGGCTGGTGTGCAGTCGCCACTCCATCACGTACCACTATGTGACCTCATCCAGGCTAATCACCCTCTGAGCCTTGGGTGACTCATGTAGAAAACAGATAATCTCACTATTAGCCCACAAGGTTACTTGAAGACTAAATGAAATTACCTCAACGCCTGGGACACAACAGGAATTCAATACATGGTAACTATTACGGTTATACCTTGCAATGGCATGCTTCCTGTTTTCCTTTTTGTTTTTTTATAAACTTTTTCTCCAGGGCACCTGGGTGGCTCAGTCGGTTAAAGCAGCTGACTTCAGCTCAGGTCATAATTTCACGGTTCATGAGTTCAAGCCCCCGCATCCGGCTCTCTGCTGTCAGCGTGCAGCCTGCTTTGGATTCTCTGTCCCCCACCCCCCACCTCTCTCTGCCCCTCCCCTGCTCGCTCTCAAATAAATAAGCATTAAAAAATATATACATTAAAAAAATGTTTTCTCTAACTATTAGTCCTCGAATTTGGGGATGAGCGGGCCTTCAGAAGCCAAAGAGGGCCATCTTAGGGGTAAGGAAAATTCTCGAAATTTCCCTAAATGTGGTCTGTCAGATGAGGAACTTCAGAATTAGACAGATTGTCTGGGTTCCCAGAAGGGTGGGAATCACTGACCTATGTCTATCCATGTCTTGCCACCATTTTATAAAGATCTATCCTTTATACCACAACCACACCAATGTATATCTTGCAGAGCCATGTTTGACTAAAACACAGAGGACTGAAACTTATTTTTTTTTAAGTATACTCTACCCCCAACGTGGGGCTCAAACTCACAACCCTGAGTTCAAGAGTCCCATGCTCTATCAACTGAAACAGCCAGGTGACCCAAGGATTAAAACTTTAAAATGGCAGGGGCGCTGGGTGGCTCAGTCAGTTGAGAGTCCACCTTCAGCTCAGGTCACGATCTCATGGTTCGTGAGTTGGAGCCCTGCACTGGGATCTGTGCTGACAGCTGAGAGCCTGGAGCCTGATTTAGATTCTGTGTCTCCCTCTCTCTCTGCCCTTCCCCTGCTTCTGCTCTCTCTCTCTTAAAAACAAATGTGAAAAAAAATTTTTTAAATGGCAGTATGTTTCAAGAAAATGTTTCTTGCAGGGCGCCTGGGTGGCTCAGTTGGTTAAGCATCTGACTCTTGATCTTGGCTCAGGTCATGATATCAGTCTGTGAGTTCGAGCCCCGTGTCAGGCTCTGCACTGGCAGCAGGGAGCCTTCTTGGGGTTCTGTCTCTCCTCCTCTCTGCCCCTCCCCTGCTCATGCTGTCTCTCTCTCAAAATAAATAAATAAACTTAAAAAAAAGGGGGGGAAAGAAAAATGTCTCTTTTATAAAGAACAAAGAGGGACAAAGGCTTGTTTTCCTAAGACCTGGGGCTTCAGCACCAAATCTCAGGAGAGAACTCAAACATAACAGTGAACTAAGAGGAACTCTGGGCAGTGCCTTTACTTAGGCTTGGTAAGCCTGAATGACTAGAAACGAAGTCAGCAAAATGCCTCCTTGGCTGCCTTCCACCTAAGCCAGAGTGCATCTCAGCTCTTACCACCACCTTTGGGCCTTAGTGGGGTTGGGGGCAACTTGAGGGCCTCTGGCCTCATGTCTCCCAGCCATACAGGAGGGAAGGCAGCATCAGAGAAGAGCTGGCCAGGCCTGCACTGAGAAGGAAGACAGAGAAAAAGCCGTTCTTCCCATGCAGCCTCTGGGCTGGGTATCAATCAGTCAGTACCTTAAATATGACCGGTCAGGCTCCTGTCCTTCTGCCAGGCAGCAGAGAGGCTGTGCATCTCCTTGAGCCAAGCAGAAACAAAGCGCACACCTCTGAACGATGTCAGGGATACTCAGGCGCACAATTACATGACACTCAACCTCATTAGAAGATACTCCCTTTGCCAGCTTCTTGTAATCCTTCTGAATAGTCATAGTCAAGGACAGTTTCTAGTAGTGCTGGTGTCCCATTAACACCTCTCTGACCCTTAGTAATCTCCTTTCTTAATGTTTATTTATTTTTGACAGAGACAGAGAGAGAGAGAGAGAGAGAGAGAGAGAGAGAGAGAGAGAGGTGGAACATGAGCGGGGGAGGGGCATAGAGAGACGGAGACACAGAATCAGAAACAGGCTCCAGGCTCTGAGCCATCAGCACAGAGCCCGACGCGGGGCTCGAACTCACAGACCACGAGACCATGACCTGAGCCAGAGTCGGACGCTCAACCAACTGAGCCACCCAGGCGCCCCAGGTAATCTCCTTTCTTAACCACAGAGCAAGTCTTAAGCGTAGAGACTGAGACAGGCATTAGTTTCTAGCAGGAATTTAGTGACACTCTTTTGCCTCTTGACATGTCCAATAGCCTAGAACTATTCTGACCATTACAGTAGCCACTAGCCACATGTGACTACTATGTAATTATACATGACTACAGTCATTTAAATTAATTAAAATCAAACAAAATTAAAAATTCACTTCCTCAGTCTTACCAACCACACTTCAATAGCCACATGTGGCCACACGGCTGTAGAACATTTCCTCTGTCGCAGAAAGTTCCCACCGGACAGCATGACCCCAGAATGCCACTCACAGCTCACCTGCCTACTCACCTGGCGGTGGCGCTAGAAGGCCTGGCTTCTCCCCAAGTAGTGGGCGCTTCGCACGCTTGGGATGGGGGCATCGCAAAGGAACAGGTCTCCTGGAGGGGGCTGCTGGAAGCAGGGAAGGGACAAACAGACCTTTGGGGTTGACCAATCCTGCAGAGGACAGACACCAAAATATAAACAGGAAGGTACAGGGTGAACCTGGTTCCAGCTGCTCTTCCCACAGGGACTTTTCCTTAATCATTAGAAAGGGCCAGAGGACGGAGCACCTGCCACACACACAAACCTCAGCTCCTCCGAGCTCTACCAAGTCCTCTCTGGGACCAGACTGTGCCTCAGTGGTTGTGCAGGGGTCAGCAAACTAGTGTCTGGGGGGCCAAATCCAGCCTGCTGTATGTTTTGGTACAAACTGTGAGCTGAGATAGTTTTCTCATTTTTAAATGGTTATATAAGTATGTACATAATATCCTTGATTTTTGCTTCTTGGCCTGCACTAAATATAACCTACAACACTAAAAATAACCTATTTCTATCTGGCCCTTTAAGATGTTTGCAAACCGGGGGCACCTGGGTGGCTCAGTCGGTTAAGCGACCGACTTCAGCTCAGGTCGTGATCTCACAGTCCATGAGTTCAAGTCCCACATTGGGCTCTGTGCTGACAGCTCAGAGCCTGGAGCCTGCTTCGGATTCTGTGTCTCCCTCTCTCTCTGCCCCTCCCCTGCTCATGCTCTGTCTCTCTCTGTCTCAAAAATAAATAAAAACATTAAAAAAAAATAAAGAAAGAAGTTTGCAAACCCGTAGTCTAGTCCACGCGTGTCTTGACATCCTGGTCCTCTACCCTCACCTTTTCACAAGTGGGTTTAGTTTCAAATGTTCTGTTTTGACACTTGGAATATATTTTGTCAAACATCCGAAGCAGTGAGGTTCACAGGTCATAAAGGCAGATCTATAACGTACCTGAAGCACTCTGTTCCTGAGGATCGAACATCCATCCGCCCAGAACACTGGCCCGGACACAGTCACAGGGATCTAACATATGGTCTAGCACCCTGACTCTTCTCTCTTGGGCAGTTGGTCTGCCTTGCCCAGTCCTCACCCTGTCAAACAGGGCTTTTTTTTCCACAGTTCACACCAAACCATTTCTGAGGGTCTGAAAGAATTTTGTTTTGAAACTTTTGGCAAGGATGAGAAGCAATTCAGAGCAAAAGATCTCCTCCTAAGCCCTTCCTTCTCTTCTTAATTCGCTCACTTCTCACAGGAGCCAGGTGGTAAAAATGCCCAGAGGTGGACCAGGGGCTGGCCGAGGCACAGGGAGGCATGGTGAGAGTAGCAGAAGGAAAGAAGGAACAAACAAACACAGGACAGCAAGAAAGCCCAGGCTGTGTCAGGAATGAAGAACACCTAAAACTATACTCTCAATCATCCTGAAGGTTGCCAGGTCAGAAAGGGAGGGGTGCACAGAAATATTCGTCCCTAGGGGCTGTGGATCTTCTACAGAGACTGACTTTGCCAATAACAGATGTACATGAGTACTGCTACCAAAGCAAGAGGGCACATTCCCTCTATTCTGAGCCACAATAATACTCAAGGTGGAATAATACTATGCTTGTAAGAAAAATCTGGGGCTAAAATAATCCCTGCTCACATAAAAGACCAAAGCAATATTTGACTCATGCCCAAATGCATCCCAGGTCCAAGTTTTATTCGAGGCCCAAGAGAAAAGCCACCGTTCCACAGACTTCTCTGCCAACTTTGTCTTTAACATGGCAGACTTTCATCCATTCCTTCCCTGCTGCCACTGCTAACACACAAGGAGAACACGAGAGGAGACAAAAGCATCCAAACATGAGGAACAGAGAAGGAAGTGACTAATTAGAGGTAGCTGCATCCCAGGTGCCTGCAGAGGAGTTAAAACTCTTTATCTTCAAGAAACAGGAAAGGCTCAGACACTCGGGGCCCCAGGAACCAGGGCCAGACACTGGGCTTGACTGGAAGTCTGTACCCCAAGTGGCTAGTCCCACACCCCCTGTCCTCCCAGAGGAAGAGATGCACGTCTGATGAACGTGCTTGAGCAGCAGGATCCAGTTCGGCCAGAAGTTAGTCAACTGTAGGGCTTTTCGGTTATGGAAGCCAGTCAGGTCTCCTTGTTTGAAGCTAACTGAGTTAGGTCCCTGTCACTTACGATGGAAAAAGTCCACAGTAATACAACCTCATTTTAGGCAGATGTCAGATACTATTTAGCACCAAGGGCTCAGAAAAGCCTCGAAAACACTATGGAATTCAGAGTGCTTCTTAAGAGAACTGCGTGTAAGCCATTCTAAATGTGGCCACCAACCCTGACAAGAGAGCTCCCTATGTTAAAACTTGAACTTCGGCAACTCATTCAAGAGGAATTGCATCCACTGAAGCCCCAGGTGTCTCCCCCAGGCCTCTGAAATCTTAACACTCAGACTATGACAACAAACATGGCAATGGCTCTAAGCTGTCCTGCTCTCTCAGGGCGATGCCTGGAAAGGCAGCAGAGCTACTGCTATCTCTTATTCCTAGAGGGACGCACTGACCTGGTAGTGAAAGGAGGGCCCCTCCTGGTCTGTCCCCTAACAACGGGGGCCTGGCAGGAAAGGGGGGATGAGGGCCTGAGAAGGATCCCTTTCCAGGGGTTGGAAGAAGTGGAGGCGGCTTGCCCACCACTGGGGTATTCCTGCCTTGAAATGAGGGATGATCACTGCCAGCCAAAGACTTGGGCGTCTCAAAGCCTGGAAAAATGAAGAAAACAAGTGGTCACCAGAAGTCTGCTACAGAGGCTAGCAAGCTACACAAAAAACACTCCGGGAATTTAAGGAAGACCTTCTCTTGCCCTGATTGAGAGGTTTCTACGATCAAAGAGAAGCAGGATGTTAACTAGACTCACTGTGGTCATTAGACAATATATACAAATATCAAATCACTATGTGTACACCTGAAAGTAACAGAACATTAATATGCTTCTGTCAATCAATTAATCAATTACACAGGCACCCAGGGGAAAAAAAAACCTATTGTGTTATAAGTTTATGAGCCCCCCCACCCCTGAGAAAGTACAATAAAAAATGTACAAAAGTAAAATACATTGTGAATTTTATAAGATGAAGGATTTCTTTAAAGTTTTAACATGGTCCTAGAACCTCAGCTGTGTTTTCCCACAGGGGACACGTGGTTATTATCTTCTTCTCATACTTAACTCAAAACAAGTAAACTGGGGGCACCTGGTTGGCTCAATTGGTTGGGTGTCCGACTTTGGCCTAGGTCATGATTTCACAGTTTGTCAGTTTGAGCCCCACGTCAGGCTCTGTGCCGACAGTTCAGAGTCTGGAGCCTGCTTATGTGTCTCTCTCTCTCCCTGCCCCTCCCTCACTCATACTCTGTCTCTCTCTCAAAAATAAATAAACATTAAAAAAAATTTAAAAAACAACAACTAAAAAGTCCCCATTTTAAGGAGTTTGGCTCATAACTGAAATGCACTTTACAATCTTCAAGATTAGGAACTGCTTCTTCGTGTTTACCATACACTTAATAATAACCTACAAATGTCTCAGTTAACAAGCTGAAACTTCGAATCACAAAAGTAAACCAACAGAGAAGAGAAATTATTTCCCACATGTCCACCTTTACAGAGGTCATCCTATTTATATATTAAAAATCTGATACAAAAGGAAATTTAGCTTGAGAAAAAACATGTTAGCCTGTAAAAGTTAAACATTAACATAGTGTAATTCCTATGCGGAACAAGTTCATATCAGACACCTTTATATTACGGAGGTATATTCTCTCAATTAAATTAAAAAGTTCCTAGTTTTTTTCACATAGCAATTTGCAGAAAAGGATTTTCTGGGGTTTAAAATGGGGAAGGGGGAGAGACAGTGCCAAATACCTTTCAGTTGCCCTTTCCTGGTCTTCAGGTAGTCAATGAGCAGGTTTAACTCATTCCCACACAAATGCTTTCCCTCAGTCAACAGGAAGACAAGGTGCTGAATGCCCAAAGGGACAGAGTAGCTGGGAAGGTGCTCCCGAGCCAAGAAGTCGTCCAGGAGATCTCCAGCCCGCAGAGCAATTCCAGCATGTTCCTGCTGCTCCCGTTTAGAGAAATATCTCCTGTATTCTTTAGCTACCAGCACCAGGGCATCTTCCAGAGGCATATGACGATGTACTGAGGACAAGAAAGAGCCGGCTTTACATCAAATGGCTGCCCTGATTTCATTTAAAATCAGAAAATAACGTTAATCCAACTACATGTCGTCTAAACTGTGTCAGCTTTCAGTACGATGTGGTTGCCTATCGATCCGACGGTCTGGGACCCTCGGCAGCAGGTGCCTGGTCAGATTTCAAAATCAAACATTACATTCTATTTCAAAATTATAACATGTGTCGCTTGGTTTACCATTTCCACACAAACCCTCTTTTCACAATTGGACAGCTTCATGCTACGCTGATGAGAGAGAGAGAGAGACAGACAGAAGGAAAGAGAGAGCAAACAGGTGCCATGTGTATCAATGGGAATTCATAACGCTAAGCAAATCTAAAAAAAAGACAGGATGTAACTTCAACCACTGCTGGCTACTAGGAAGGTTTAAGGGCAAAAAAATCCTAGAAGTGAAGGTGTCTGATTTGGTTTCAGTGATCAGGGTGGATGACTTGAGAGGAGTGTGATCCACAGAAGAAACAAGTAGAAGCAGAGAACAGAGCCTTTAGAGAGGAGAGCAAGTGTGAAATGGGGCTGCTGGTTTTCACTGCAAACCTTTTAGTGTTTATCTTTTAACTCTGTGTATGTAACACTTTGATAAAAGGCAGACAGACAGACAGACACAGACAGACCTGCGGTGCAGGGCTTCTAGGCTCTGCCACTGTAGCCTGGGGAGAAACCCACCATCGTCTATGTGGTTCTGCAGTCTGGCTCAGGCCCATGGGATCTTAAATCATGTTAAAAGCCTTTCCAGGTCAGGTCACATATATATCACATATAAAATAAGTTCTAGATACCAGGAATGGCTTTTAATGGCTACAGTCAATGCATAGGTGTTGTCTGATCTCTCCTAGGTTTACCTATGGAGAATATGACTTCTTCAAAGTTTAATTTTAGATGGAAGGCCCCACCCTGTCTTGCCACGTATCACCAACTTCTGAAAAATTTAGGGCCCAAGGGGCACTACAGAGCTACAATGGAGATTATGGTATTTGGCTAAATCCTAAGCAGTGTTTATGAAGGTTACATTTAGGACGAGATATGAATACATATTTGCCTTCACGTGCTAAAGTTTCATTGTCTGTCTTAAATGTTTGTCTCGGCACAGGAGCAGCTCCACGGGCTTCTGAATAACGGCTACACGTGAGGTATAAAACAAACTGTCAGCTCTAAAGCAATGTGAAAGAGAGGCCAGCAAAGACTAATTTTGCTAAAACAGATGTAGCTTATAAGAGAAAACAGAGTGTTCTTTTTACATATCATCTGAGTTCAATAATTAAATCCATGGATAGGAAATGAAATATGAACCTATTAATACTATTGTGGACATGAAAAAGAAACCCTTCTCTGAATGTGTAACATGGTAAAAATAGATCACATGCTTTTTAAGTAGTGCTGGCTTTGTAAAAGTGTTTTCGTATCCGACCAATGATTCAACCTACTTACTTTAGTGAGGATTTCCTACACCATCTTGCATGAACATAACACATGTGATTAGTCCTCTACACAACCTATTCATATCAAGCCGTTCCCCACTCCCACCCCTCGGAGATGGGGATTCGTAATTTTCCGAACCTAAGTGTGGTTTAGTCTTATTATTTGTTTAACATAAATTAGACATTTTCTATGTTTAAAAAAACCATAGTGGGAACAGTATTCTGCAAGAGCTGGCTAGGTGGGTGTGGGTTGCAACACAGCGTAAAAGTAAATGGAATGGTCAGAAAAAAAGACGTCCTAGCAGCCTCAAAACTATGGGAAGCCGAGTATTCCTCACTGTTGTTTTTTCCAGACTCAACATTACAGCTGGATTTTAGGACACCAATCTGACACCGACTTCTCTGAAGGCTCCAAAGTCACAGGTAGGATATAAATCCAGCTCCCATACTCCACTAGGTCTCTGCCGAGGAGAAAGGTCTCCTGACTTAGCAGTGAAAACCCTACGCTGCTATGGAGACACAGCTGGGATGGGAGAAGCCTGCCCGGCTGCTGCTCACCTGGGCACAGGAAGGAAGCAGGGTTGACAGTGCCTAGCACACATGAGGAACTCAGTAAGTGAGTGTGGACTGCACAGAATGGTGCCAAGAGCTTCTAGAAAGATGAGGACTAGAGCACCTAGGCTCGTCTGGATCTGACTCCAGAGAAGCTGCCAAGGGGCCCTTCACAAAGCAGATGCCTCTCTGGGAGCAGCAGCTCTGACCAGGAGGGAAAGGTGAGGGTGGTCTAGGATGCGTGCATCTGCCTAAGTCTATGTGTTTTAGGGAGGAAAAGAGAGTTCATTTTTGTGCACTCTCATGAGCCTAAGAATAAAGAAATGTTTGAGATATCACAGGAAAGGCAGAATCAGCAGAAAAGTAGTCTAAGAGAATGCACAGGACGATAAACATGACATCTTTTAGACTTACCATTGAGCATAGAAAAGACGGTGGTAAGATTTGGTCAAAAAGTTTTACGGAAGACAACTGACTTGTGGGGGTGCCTGGGTGGCTCAGTAGGTTAAACGTCTGAATCTTAATTTCAGCTTAGGTCATGATCTCACGGTTCATGGGCTTGAGCCCCATTGCTTTGGGATTCCCCCTCTCCCTCTGTCCCTCACCTGCTCGCGCGCGCTCTCTCTCAAAATAAATAAACATTAAAAAGAGAGAGAGAGAATTGACTTTTTACACAATATTTGCACAATATATCCTGACAAGTAAGGAGCAATGAAGATGATTTAAGTTTCAATCACCTCTGATACACAGGAGAGTATTTTGTGATACCTATTCAAGTTACTTTTTCCTCAACTAGATCCAGTTTAGTTACCGACAAATGTGAACCTTCAAAGTGTACCAGCATACAAAGAAAAACTATTATATTTTTAAAGCAGGATCTATTTTAAGTGATAGTTCTAGATTAAGCTTAACTTACTTTTGATAGACTCATCAAGTATAATTACGGTGCAAGAGGAAAGTTCTACATTAGACTGTTCGACAAGAATGCAAAACGGGGACCCATCATCTTTAACTTCCTGGAGTGCTCGCGTAAGACTCGATTCCGAGGAGAGGTGAATCATTTCCACCATAAGGCCATAATCCTGCAACTGATGACCTATGCCTGTTGCGTAGTCCCTTAAAAACAAACAAAACGTCACACACACAAGAAACAGGTAGGTTATTTTCAATCAAACAAAAGGGGAAAAAAAATACGTCACCAAGCAGGTGTTCCATAGATATTTTGATGACAAATTTAAGTAAGTGAAGTGTAAGATACTATATTTTTACTGAACTTGGATAAGTGAAGTGAAAGATGCTGTAGTTTTTCAAAAATCATGCATGCTGTACAACTTGTTTTCATTCTTAGACACACTGAAAACAACCAATAGTACATTATCTGTCTGATGGGATCAGTTAAGAGAACTGGAGGCAACTCTACCCAAAGGAAACTTTCCTTTACGAAAATGTGGTGTCCTCAGATGGTTGACTATGTACAGAATTTTATAAAGAAAGCTAAGTATGTCAAAGTCGTGTTTTTGTATGACATGATACACTGCATACACACCACAAATGTGGTCAGCATTTTACAAAATGGAATCGTTCCAGAGTTATTTGATGAAGTCATTTCAATTTAAAGTACATGAAAGAAAATTTAGGATTTATTGTAAAGAAGAGATAAGACTATTATCTTCAGAAAAATAACAGAATGCTCATTTACAATTAGTTCCTGGGACAGACCAGTATTTCTTAAGATCACTACCACTGAGACAACTCCTTGCTGAAGAGTAAACAGATGAGGGGTGCCTGGCTGGCTCAGATGGTGGAACATGTGACACTTGATCATGAGGTTTGAGCCCCACATTGGGGGTAGAGTTTACTTAAATAAATAAGCAAATAAACAAACAAATAAATGCATGTATACAACAAATAAATGCATGGCAAAGAAAAAAAAAGAGAATAAATGGATAATGCTGGAGTTAACCATCTCAGTTAATATCAACCATCCCATAACCAACCTGGGATCAAACCCCAGAGTCATCTCATCTCCCATTTTCTCAGCCTCAGTCTTCAAGTCATAAAGAATCTACCCCAGACCTCTCCTTCAGGTTTATGCTTCCCTTGTGCCCAATACTTGCTCAGAAACCTGAATAGAGGGGTGCCTGGGTGGCTCAGTCGGTTGAACACCTGACTCTTAATTTCTGCTCAGGTCATGATCTCACAGGAGTGAGACTGAGCCCTGCGTCAGACCCCTGGTTGAGTGTGGAGCCTGCTTGGGATTCTCTCTCTCTCCCTCTGCCCCTCCCCGCAGCTCGTGCGCTTGGTCGAGTGCTCTCTCTCTCTCTAAAAAAATCAAAATTAATAAAAATTTAAAGACTAAAAAAAAAGAGAAAGAAACCTGAATGAAAACTTAGAAACCGCAAATGACACTAATCCCTGAAACCAACGACCCTGCAATGGTAGTATACTCCTCCTCTTACGTATCCTCTGCTTAGAGCAGGAACAACTCTTAACATACCCCATCTTCCACTTGTTATTTAAGCACATGTTTTATCTTATTAGGCTGCATGAGGTAGAAAAGAGGAATTGCTACTTAATTATCTGTATGTTCCTCACTGTGCTTTAGCACAGAGTTTTACATAGAACAGGTACACATTAAATGCATGTTCTGTGAATTAAAAATTAAAATGAGGGGCTCCCGGGTGGCTCAGTCGGTTAAGCGTCTGACTCTTGATTTCAGCTCAGGTCATGTCATGGTTCATGAGTTCAAGCCCCACATCGGGCTCTGCGCTGATAGTGTGGAGCCTGCTTGGGCTTCTCTCTCTCCCTCTCCCTCTCCCTCTCTCCCTCTGCCTCTCTCACTACCCCTCCCCTCCTCACACTGTCTCTGTCTTTCTGAAAATAAATAAACTTTATTTATTTATTTATTTTTAATTTATTATTTTTTTTAACGTTTATTTTTGAGACAGAGAGAGACAGAGCATGAACAGAGGAGGGGCAGAGAGAGAGGGAGACACAGAATCTGAAACAGGCTCTAGGCTCTGAGCTGTCAGCACAGAGCGCGACGCGGGGCTCGAACCCACGGACCGTGAGATCATGACCTGAGACGAAGTCGGACGCTTAACCGACTGAGCCACCCAGGCGCCCCTAAATAAACTTTAAAAAATTAAAAAACAATTAAAATGATGGCAGGAAAAAATGCTTTCCAGGCGATTTAGGAGAGTACAAATGATTGCAGAAAGTAAATTCAAGAGGAAAACAAGAAAGACAAGACATGGTTCATATTTACAGAGTGAGAGCCTATGAGTTAAAACTATCACAACAATAACTCATGCTGGAGGGTATCGTTTGAAAATTAATTACTGTTCTGGAGTATAAAAGAATGAATTTAGCCAACCAATATATCACTGCAAATCTTTCTAACATCAGAGTGACAACAGAGCAGGCAGTGTGGCCTAGTTCTCGGACTCCCTGGCAGATGCAGCCCGCGTGCGGCCGAGGAGTCCCTAAGCTGCACCCGCTGAGGGTCCTAACCCATGGCTAGCTGCGAGAACTGCAGAATGCCGGGCGGAGGAGCGGTTTCTGAATACCACCCCAGATGGAGGGGGAGAAGAAAAGCAATCTCGAGGACTCCTCTCCACCACACAGTGCCGCACTCCAATCAACACCCAGCAGGCCTGGCTCTGAAGACGGGAGAGCAGCAAGGGCATCCGGGTTCGGGAGTCGAACGGCGCTGGAGCCCACAATTCTGAAAACGGTACAAGGCGCTACAGGTCAGACGTGACGCCTGCTACAAGTTCCGAGAAAACTGATTTAGTCAAAGATTAACGCGGTTTCCCTGGCTGATCCAAACTACTGTACCACAGTTGCTAAATGTTGAGGGAAAACCAAGCTACTGTGCATGCTGAGTTCTTACTGCCTCTTGTTCAAAACTGGTTTGAATTACCAGATGATCAGCTTAATCCAGGGCATGTCTGGTTGTCTTTCAATTATTAAAGGGAAATCCTATAATTTTCTAATGTAAAAGAACTGGCCTCTCCCACCCTCCCCATGCTATGACTGACCTCACTTCTTCCAGGATGCTGTCCCTCAAGATCCAACCCAAATACCCTCCAAACGAGATGAAGCTGTAAGTTTGCTTTCACAAACTTCACCAGTAAAGATGCTATATCTACCAATAAGTTAGATTTCTGTAAAGCAGATATCACAGAATAAGCAAGAATTCTGAGTCATTTTAAGATTGCCAATTTTCTCATAAAGAAAACCAATGCTGGGGCGCCTGGGTGGCGCAGTCGGTTAAGTGTCCGACTTCAGCCAGGTCACGATCTCGCGGTCCGTGAGTTCGAGCCCCGCGTCGGGCTCTGGGCTGATGGCTCGGAGCCTGGAGCCTGTTTCCGATTCTGTGTCTCCCTCTCTCTCTGCCCCTCCCCCGTTCATGCTCTGTCTCTCTCTGTCCCAAAAATAAATAAACATAGGAAAAAAAAAAAAGAAAACCAATGCTGCCTTATGCTGAGTTACGTTTTGTGCATGCCTGGTCTCCTGGTCAGGAATGATTAGTTATCATGTCTGGGGTGTGCAGTTTCACTCACTCAGTACCTAGCCTGGAGTTAAGTGTGTATGCTTCCAACCAATCATTTGTCTACATGCTCCTTGCCAAGCACTACGAAACCCGACATAATCCAGAGACACAATTATCATCACACACTAAGTCCCCTGTCTGCTTTCAAGTGCCAGCCAATGGTGCACAAGGTCAGGGCACTACACGGACCCAAAGGACAAGCTGGAGAGAGCCAAGAGAGCAGGTGACCAGGCCACAACTGCGCTTAAGTGGGCTGCCTGAGTTACAGGTATTAGGTGGCCTACACAAGTAACAAGTGTTAGTTGGCCAGCATGAGTTTCAGGTGGAGAAGGATAAGGCATCCCACATCGAAGGAAAAACAGCAAGGATGCAGGCTGAAAGGAATTCAACAAGCAGCTAAGAAATGAGGAACCCTTGTCTGAAATTTCAGTGAGGCCAATTTGTGGCATCCTACACTAGACTGTCTGTGCCCCAAGGCAAACGTTTGTCTGTTATGTTCATTAAAGTATCCCCAGAGCCTAGAATAGCGCCTGGCACACGGAACCCAGCCCTGAAAATAGCCTTGGTTTTTTTGGTTTTGTTTTTTTTTTTCCTGATTATAAAATTGATAGATACTCATTATAGAAAAGTCAAGCAATACAGAAAACTGAGTAAGACAGTCATTGTCAGAAACCTCCCCATCCAGATGCCTCTGTCACCAGTTTGGTAAACCCAGCAGCACATTCTTGTAATTCATAGAGCAGTGTTCTAGCGACATTTTGAAAGTCTTTCAACTCTCAGTGACTTATGTATTGTAAGGCTGACTACTTAATAATTCCATTTGTACACATTCTCATTCGACAGGATAAAAAGAAATAAATACACACCTCTGTTCGTTGTTGATAGAAACAATAACGCAATCTGAAGGCCTCTCTTGATCACGGGCTTTCTGAACCACTTGATAAAAGTGCTGGAAAAGCTCTTCTTTCCATGTGTTCCTGCCGCTGGCATCCCCTAAAAAATACTGACATATTCATGTTTTCGCAAGGGCAAAGGCAATCACTGAAGGTTCTCAGGGTTTTTTACAAAAGTGGAAGTGAATGGCAACCCCTCTAGAAGGAACAGATGAGGAAAAGAGAAGTAGCTTCTCAGCAAGACTCTTACCTAACTGAGTGGACTGGTATCGCTCATGGTTCTCTTCATTCCTTTTTGAATAATCAGCCACATTCTGCCATAATTCTTTAATGCTATTGGATGAATGAAAATAGAATAGTTTGTGCAAATGTAGTTTCCCTCTACGAGTGTGTCCCCAAAAGCCAAAAAAATAAATACCAGGCCACCTAGCACAATCCATATGCACCAAAATAAAGGCTGTGTCTACACAGAGGTAAAAAGTCACTCAATAATCTGTGCTCATTTTAGAACACTGTGCGTTTCTGGGATTTTTCTGCTCCCTCCCATTCACTTCCTCTTGCCTGTTATGATGAAAAGTACTGTATGGAGCCACCGATCTTTGTCAAGTCAGACCTATACAGAAAAGAGACAGACTCAGACTTCAAGGTGTTTATTTTAAAGGAGAAGAGATCATTTTACCAGATGTGTGTATCCTTTGAGGTGCTTATCTCTGAAGGTCTTCACTGGATATGGGTAAAAAAATGAGTCAACAAGATCTGCTCACTTTACTCCTAAACAGTCTACGGCTCCTGTGAGCAAGCTATTTTCCCATGCTAAAGGCATGCAAAATAGTGCACAGATGCTGGGTAATCTATTAGCCATCTAAAGTAGTCCCCTTTGCTGTGATTTAACAGAAGAAAGGGGGAATTCGGTGCACTCTACACCCTAAATCAGGCATTTTTACTGCGGCTCTCCAGCATCCAGACACCAATGTGTCTGTCCACAAGGAATGTCCTGCCAGGGAGAGAACCACCTCGGCAGGCAGCAATTAGTTCCTTTCTCACCAGGGGCATCACGCCGCATGGCAAAGCAGCCATGGAACACGCTCAGTCGAACCATGACTATTCAGCAAGCTGCCAGCAAACGTCAATCCCTTTGCTCTGCCCCTGTACGATTTTCATTCGGGTTCTTGTCCACATCCAATTTCCTGACACAGCAGAGACGTAGCTCCAGACTTTTAGAGGCAAAGCTTTTGCTTGAATCCATGCCTCTCCTACTGCTTGAGAATCCTGAGCTACACAAGAATGTTTCCTCCCCTCAAGCAGGCTTTATCTTTGTGTACTATCTCTGACAAACACTAACCATTGACTCCAGAGGCCATTTCTTAAGCTGCCTGCTTTCTCCAACCCTTGCTAGGGTGTGTTCTTGCTGGCTTTCCCTCAAACTTCACACACTTTCTTTTAACGAAGTGGTATGTAAACCGCCCACCGCCACGCTAAGTAATTAGACGGGGTTGGGGAGTGCCCCAGAAGCTGGTACATGGCCATCCAGGAAAGGCAGTATGATGTTGAAATTTGCAACTGCCTAGGTAGGAGTCTCAGTGCTGTCACTTACTAATTGGGTAAGCTTGAACGCGTTACTTAACACCATCATGTCTCAGTTTCCCCACCTGTAAAATGGGGCTATTAGAACCTACCTGGAAGCACTGCTATGAAGATTAAATGAGTTAATGCAGGTAAATCCCTTAGAACAGTGTCTGATGCAGAGCAGGCCCTCAATAGATGTGAGCCGCTATCACCCATTTCTCCCTTCAGGTTTCCTTCACACCAGAGCTAAGAAAACCAGTCCTTCCAAAGATCACCTACCAGTGCAAGTATTCTGAGCCTCAATGTCAGGAAATGTTACCTGAGAGAGACTGACCCCCATTAATAGTCACTCCTGAATTCTACACTTCCAAGTGCTTCCGCAGTCGAGGAAGGCATTTTTCAATTTTGAATTATTAATCTAATCTGACACAAATCTCATCTTTAATGCAGGCAAGAGAGAGGCCCTGTCAAGGTTCATACATATAAAAATCAATTCAAATACAGTTCAAGGAAAACTGCTTTTACCAAAACTACAGAGGTAGCTCCAAAGCGAAAATCCTGAAGTGCCATGTTGATTTACCTACTTAGTTACTTAGAGAATCCACAGCTGAATATAAAAGACACAGGAAACTAAGTAAGACCACCTTCAAAACTGGTTTACATACTTTGGAATACTACACAGTGGTCAAAAACAACGAGGATGAATAATCCTCCCTCACATACTGTTATGCGAAAGAAATGAATTCCGGAACAATATAGCACTGTGAGCCATTTCAGGTTAAAAATAAGGGGGAAAAAGCCGGGGAGGGTTCTGAAAGGGATTTTCACTTTTTACTATCAAACACTTTTACATCTGTTCCCCCCCCCCCCCCCCCGCCCCCGGGGGGGGCTGGATAAGCCATTTTTATGTGACTTTATATTATACGAGAATACTGATTCGTCTCATAATAAAGTAAATTTCCATATTCGGAGCATGGTTAGATGGTAGCACAAAAAAGGTGCGGCGGTGTGGAAGAAGGGAGTGGAGGGCCAGCCAGTCACCCAAATGGGGCTCCCCTGAGTGGCTCAGGTGCCCAAGTCCCATCAGCCTGCAGGTCTATTTTAGTTACTAGAGTCCAAACGACTATGGAGAGGGAGAAGTTAAAGCAGAATGGCTTAATATGATCAAGCTGACCTGAGGGACTTCCCAAAAAGCAAATATTAATAGCATCAATTTTAACAAACACATAAGTCTGCACAGTAAGAACACATCTAAATTACTACTAAAGCTTTTAGCAAATTGAGCCACAACAATAAAACTTTACCTTAGCATGTCTTCACCCTCCTCTAAGTAGCCCTCTTGGGGAGAATAAGAAGTCGGCAGCAAAGGTTTATACGGCTTGCTGCTAAAAAACCAACAAAGACAAAATTACACTTAAGAAGAAATTATTTCCCATAGCCCACACATTAGTTTCCACAGTCCTGGTACACTCAGGTGATTAAATCTTCAGTTAAACTGGATTTCAAAAACTCAAACAATGCTTTCCTCAAGACTTTTTTTTTTTTTTTCCCAGAGCCTCTATTCTAGTTTGTAATGCTTATTTCTATTTTTGTCTAGTTTGTTTGCACAACTGCTTTTCCAGAGTGGACCACTGAAGGCACAGTTCTGTCACAAGAAAAGAAGACCATTATAAATTTACCAGCAGAAAGGGGCTTCAACATAATGAATGTGATTTGCCCCAGTGAACTGAATTAAAACTAAAAACAAAAAAAAAACAACAACAAAAAAGTAAGAATGTAATGTTGTTGGTGTTTGGTAATTAAAAAAAAAAATCTCTGTGGGTTTTTGTTTTGTTTTTTTTTAAGATTCTCTTTGGTAGATGTTCCCACCAACATCACCATAAATTTTCATGAATTATCTGCCACCTTTAATGTATCTGGCACTAACTCCACAATGGTGCTTATGAAAGAACATGCTTAAATGATTTGTGTGCATCAATTCTAAGTACTAAAGGTCCTCTATTAAGACCACTGTTATGTTTACATACCAAACGCATTTGACACACGTCGACACTGTCCCCCTCATTTAAAAGTCATGTGGTTAACAAATAACATAAATCTAAATCTAAGACAAAAATAAGGGGCAAAACCTAAGAAGAAAATGCCTGTTCCCAATTGTTAGCTGAAAGAAACAAGGGGCTAAACAAGATTTAACTATTATGAATTTGGACCGAGAGGGTTAAAGAGTTATTAGAAAGCTTTCCTTTTCCAAAAAGGATCAGGAGCACAGATGCTCCACTCGACCCTCTTCTCAATGATCCTAGCCAAGTTTGAAGGCCATGAGAAGGAATAAGCAGATGGTTCAATGTGAGTAAGTCAAAAGGAAGTTGCATTTGCCTTATTCGGCTTCCTAGCAACTAGACTGAATGATGCCAAGAAAGCCAGCCGGCTCTAAGGAGAAACGCTGCAGGACACTTGGAACCCAGCGGTCGGGCAGGGGAGAGAAGCCCCCCAGACACCCTCACCTGGCAAAACAAATCCAGTGCCTACTGACACCCACATTTCCCGCCTCGCTGGGACCATCCCCTCCCCTTGCAGTTCCCACCCCAGCCTATCCCGGCCGCACTAATGCCAACCACTTGACTACCAGGACAACCTTTCAAACTCCAGTAACATCAGATGAGCAGTCTGGCCCAGCCATCAAAGAATAACTTCCCACTTCTCCATGGGAGGGAAGGCCCCAAGCACTCAACGCACCTCAGCCAGCTGGACAAAGGATTCCGCAGGCCAAAAGGCCTGCGCTCAAACACTGAAGCCCAAGCACAGAGAGGCAGACGCGTACGCTGGCTGGGATCCCAGAGGCCTGAGAAACATCCGTCCCAGAGCCACGGTATGTTCCTTTTCTCCTCCTTAAAAACATCCCCTAAGTAGCGTGGAAGCTGGGGGTTCCCAAATGGACTGCTTAAAGGAATCACACTCAGGAAGGAATTTTCTTTGTGTAAGCACATAAACAGGCATGTGAAATATATTCACAATACAATGGCCAAAGGAAGGCTTGGATGTTATTAAATATGGCAAGGTTACACCAAGTCCTGGCAATGCCACTGTATTTCGCCATCTCCTCAGGGCCTCCCGCTAATTGGTGGCACCCATTAAAACTTCAATTCCTCTCCTACTCAGTGAGTAGAAGGTCAAATAGAAAATGGAACTTCTAATTACACATATATCTTGGGAAATGAATACAGTTTCCAACATGCTCAACGAAGATGCTTTCAAATGCATTATATCTGAGCCTTATAACAACCACACAAGCTGGATAATGTCAACCTCCCCACACTTTTTAGAAACAGATGAGAAAACTGAGAGTCAGGCTACATGACTTGCCACACACAGCTAAGCAATAAAGTCCAAATTCAAACCCAGGTGTGTCTGACACTAAAACCCAGGCTCCCTCTAATATCCCATAGCCCAGAAACTCTGGGATTAACCCAGGAGGTCTGCAAGTAAACAAAACAAGACAAAACAAAAACAAACAGCAATAAAAGAAGGACAAACATAAGGGACAAAGATATTAAGTCATTCTATATTTTTATGGAAAGTAAATTCATGTAAGCATAAAAAATTCTCATTCGAGAACATAACAAATATGGCAGAGGGTTCCACAGAGACACGGCTGATTTCTTTCCTTTCCATGCCTCTCCTGGCCATGTCCCAGCAGGCCATCCAGGTCTACCTTTGGATGGACCACCTAAGTAAGAGCAAAGACTGACGTGGAAGAACCAGAATTCTCATACGCCAATAGTCCGAAAGCAAAATGGTATAATCCCTTCAGAAAATATCTGGCAGCTTTTTAAAAAGTGAAACACATAATCCAGCCAGTCCATTCCTAGACCCGATAAAAATGAAAGCACATGTCTACACAAAAACTTGTGTATGAATGTTCACAGCATCTTCATTTGTGATAGCCCAAAATGGGAAATGTCCAACAAGAGGATGGGAAAACAAACTGTGTATCCATAGTCTTAGCCTGCTTAGGCCACTGTAGCAAAACACCATCAGCTGGATGGCTAAAACCACAGAAATTTGTTCATCAGAGTCCTGGAGGCTGGAAGTCTAGGACCAGAATGTCAGCATGGTCCAGGCCTAGTGAGAGTTCTCTTCCTGGCTTACTGGGGCCACCTCCTTGCTATGTTCTCACATAGCCCTGCCTCAGTGCATACACATGGAGAGAGAGATCACTATTCCTCTTTTTTTTATGTTTATTTATTGGGGGGGGGGGGGGCAGAGAAAGAGGGAACCACAGAATCCGAAGCAGGCTCCAGGCTCCGAGCTGTCAGCACAGAGCCTGATATGGAGCTTGAACTCACAAACCACGGGCTTGAGCTCACAAGCTGTGAGATCATGACTTGAGCTGAAGTCAGACACCCAACCCACTGAGCCACCCAAGCACCCCCATTATTCCTCTTCCTTTATAAGGCCAACAAACCTACCAGATTAGGACCCCACCCTTTTGACCTCATTTAACCTTAATCAGCTCCTAAAAGCCCTATCTCCAAATACAGTCAAGTTGGGGGTTAGGGCTTCAATGTATGATTATAGGGAACACAGTCTATAGCACCATAAAATGGAATACTAATCATCAACAAAGATATGATATACTGATCCGCCCACAGATATGGATGTATATAAAAATAATTATTCTGAAAGAAACAAAAAAAAAGAAACCAGAAACTTCTCCTCCATGAAAATATACTATATGATTCCATTTAAATAATTTATATAAATTATATAATTCATATAAATTCCTGAAAAGTGCAAATTAATCTGTTGTGATAAAAGTGACAGATCAGTTGTTGCCAAGAGAAGGGGGACTTACAGCTGCAAATAAGGATATTTTGGGGGATGACAGTTGTGTTCATTATCTTGATTGTAGTTGCTGGTCTAACATCCACATGTCAAAACTCAAGTTGTACATTTAAAACTTTTTTTTTAATGTTTATTTTTGAGAAAGAGAAAGAGAGAGAGAGAGAGAGAGAGAGAGAGAGAGAGAGAGAGAGAATGCAAGTGGGGTAGGGGCAGAAAGAGAGGGAGACACAGAATCTAAAGCAGGCTCCAGGCTCTGAGCTGTCAACACAGAACCCGATGCGGGACTCGAACCTGCGAACCATGAGATCATGACCTGAGCTAAAGTCTGGTGCTTAACCATCTGAGCCACCCAGGTGCCCCTCAAGTTGTACATTTTAAATATGTGCAATGTATTATTATACATCACTATTATGCACCAATAGTCATATATCAATAAAGCTGAAAAAAATCCAAGCCTCTTTTCGGCTTCATTTTTTTCATTCTTTAACATCACTGTTTTTTTTCTCTCCTTCTTTTTTTAAGTTTACTTACTTATTTAGATGTTTATTTACTTTTGAAAGAGAGAGAGAGCAGGGGAGGGGCAGGGAAGAGGACAGAGGATGGAAAGCCGGCTCTGTGCTGATGCAAGGATTGAACCACCAGCTGTGAGATCAAGACCTGAGCCTAAGTCGAACGTTTAACTGACTGAGCCACCCAGGTGCCCTTACTTATTTATTTTTAAGTAATCCCTATGCCCAATGGGGGGCTCGAATTCACAACCCCAAGATCAAGAGTCGCACACCATTCCACCTGAGCCAGCCTGGCGCCCCAACATCAGTGTGTTTTCAGTGTGTTTCAAGTTTTGGTGCTGGTCAGAAATCATGCAGATTCTGATGTCTTTATATGGAGAGAACTTTACACATCTATGGAAAGAGAATCTGTGGAAACACTTCCTCACTGTTTCAAATTAAATGTACATGTCACTCCCAAAGCCTCCAGGAATGCTGGTACGATTATTTTTAACTTGTTACTATTGTATCTCAATTACTTCAACTTATTAGACAGCTGATCTATTAAGTTCTCAGGGTAGGACCCACTGGGGATAAATTTTAAAATTAAAAAGATTTTTAAGAATCTACTCTTAGAAGTTCCATCATAATTTCAAATTTCACTGAAAACAATTTGAATTTTAACACTCCTCTGGAGAAATTTCAATCAAGCCTCCAGAAATAGGAAGAGAGTAGTACCATGGCACTGTCAAAGGACCCAAACCAAAAAAAGTCATAGGCTTCTTTTATGACAGTCTCAAAAGCAGAGTGAATACACAGCTAAACACAGCGTTACCTTGTGATTCAGCAATCACACCCAACTGATTTGAAAACGTATGTCCACACAAAAACCTCCACATGAATGTTTATAGCAGCTTTATTCATAACGGCCCAAAACTGGAAGCAACCAAGACGCCCTTCAATAGGTGAAACAGATAAGCAAACTGTGGCACATCCAGACAATGAGTATTATTAAGTGATCAAAAGAAAAGAGCTACCAAGCCACAAAAAGA